GGCGGGGTTGGGGATGAAGGTGGGACCTGGCCTAGGGGAGAGGGTGTGGCCTGGCCTAGGTGGGGGCGTGGCCTGACTTTTGGCGGAGTCTGGCCCAGGGTAGGGGGCGGGGCCTGGTCAGGTAAGGGTGAGGCCTGGCCCAGGTTAGGGGCGGAGTCTGGCCCAGGATGAAGGCGGGGCCTGTCCGGGGTTGGGGAGATGAGGGTGGGCCTGGCCTAGGGGAGGGGCTGTGGCCTTGCCTAGGTGGAGGCATGACCTGACCCAGGGTGAGGGCGGAGTCTGACAGTGAGGGAGGAGTCTGGCCCAGTGCGGGGGCGGGGTCTGGCCCAGCGCAGGGGCGGGGTCTGACAGTGAGGGAGGAGTCTGGCCCAGCGCAGGGGCGGGGTCTGGGCAGGCCCGAGCAGCCTGTGGACCTGGAGGACGAGGACAGGGTGGACCCGAGCCTCAGGGCCAGTGGCACTGATGATAATCCGCCCCCATCTCCAGCTGTGTGGACGCCACCACTTTCCTCTACTTCAGCTTCTTCGCGCCGCTCATCTACGTGGCCTTCCTCAGGGGCTTCTTTGGGTGAGTCTGGCCGGTCCCGGACCTGCTCTCTGTCCAGCACACCCAGGCTCCAGGGCCACGGGTGCCCTCACGTGGTGGACAGTGAGACTGCGCCATTTGCTTCCTGCGCATGCGCGGGGTGGTAGCCGCACTGGGATCCAAGGCAAGGCTTGCATGGTGTCTGCACGCGCGCATGCGCCTAGACGTGCACCCGCGCAATCTCGCGCCTACGTGCGCGTACACGTGTGCAAACAGATGGAATAGGCCGTCCGTGAACGCGGACTAGGGCACTTTCCCCAGGAGAGTGGCTGGGCATGGCGCCCTGCGTTGCTGTCTTGCACTCATTCATGAAGCTAGCTTTCGCTGAGCACCTACTATGTGCTGGCATTGCTGTAGCCAGTAGACACCACAGGGCAGGATTGAAAACAAGGCTTGTGCCTGTCATCCCAGGAACTGAGGAGGCTGAGGCAGGAGGATCGCAAGTTGGAGGCCAGCCTCAGCAATTTAGGGAGGCCCTAAGCAACTTAGCGAGATTCTTGTCACAAAACTAAAAAAATTTTTAAAAAGGGCTGGGGATGGGGCTCTGTGGTGAAGCGCCCCAGTTCCATCTCTAGGACCCCAGTCTGGGCGGTGACCTTCTTAGGGTGGGCCTCCATACCTGGGCCTCTCTGGACTCCCAGGGTGAGGCCCCCAATCCTCTCTCTCCTACCCACCAGCTCGGAGCCCAAGATCCTGTTCTCCTATAAATGCCAAGTGGACGAGACGGAGGAGCCGGACGTGCACCTGCCCCAGCCCTACGCCGTGGCCCGGCGGGAAGGCTTGGAGGCCGCGGGGACTGTCGGGGCCTCGACTGCCTCCTATTCCAGCACCCAGTTCGATTCCGCGGGCGTAGCCTACCTGGACGACGTGGCGTCCATGCCCTTCCATGCGGGCAGCATCAACAGCACCGACAGCGATCGGTGGAAGGCCATCAACGCCTGAGAGCGGCCTCCCAGGACCTGCGGGGACAGACGGGACAGGGGCCCGAGGCTGGACTCCCAGGTGGAGCAGATGAAGGGTTGGGGGCCAGGCCTGCACCTCCTGCCCTCCAGCCCCCAGTTCCCTTGGTGGCCAGTGCTCCAGCCGGGGACCCCTCGTCCTTTTTCCATCTCCTCGCCCCGCTCAGCAGGCCAGACTGGTCTCCCAGGGACAGAACCTCATGGCACAGGATGGCTGCTGCCCACCTCCCCTCACTGCCCCACTCCGCAGCCACTGGTCTCTTCCGAGCACACAGCGTGGGGGACCAGCGGTGGCGTGTATATTTTCTTGATTTATTTTTTAATAAAAAGGAAAAGAGTACAAAGTGTTGATGTGGAAGTTTCTAGAAGGTGGAGCCAGCGGGTTCCTCCGGGCAGCATGAGGGGGCTCCTCTTGGCTCAACCAAGGGACAGCTCAGAGTCAGCCTGGCCTTCCAGACAAGACCCACCCTCCCCTGGAGGCCAGAACTGCACCCCAAATCTGCCGGAAGACTGCATTCCAGAATGTTCTACATTGGGATTCAGACCCCCCCCCCAGGGCAGGGGGCAAACACAAGATCCTTCTGGATCTCTCAAGGTTGCAGTTTCTCCAAAGACCTGCCCTGTGCCTGGTGCAGTGGTGCCCGCCTGTCATCCCAGCCACTGGGGAGGCTGAGGCAGGAGGATCGCAAGGTGGAGGCCAGCCTCAGCCCCTTAGCAAGGCCCTGAGCCACTCAGCGAGACCCTGTCTCTCAATAAAATAGAAAAAGGAGCTGGGGACGGGGCTCTGGGGTGAAGCTCCTCTGATGTGTAATTATCAGGACTGTCATTATTAATAATCATTAATGTCATTAATAGTAGTTATTATTCATAATTAGCATAATTAATTACTCCCTTGAGATGAGCGTGGGGTGTGAAACTAGCTGTTAGATCCTGAAGACAGACAAAGACCAATTTTTTTTTTGGGGGGGGGAGGTGGTGTCGTACTGGAGATTGTACCCAGGGGACGCTTACCCCCTGAGCCACCTCCCCAGGCAGGTCGGGTCTGCTGGTTCTAGGGCGAGTGGGGACACACGGACAGTGGCATCAGGAACAGCTCCTACGGTCCCCTGGCCTCCTTTACCCTCCACTTTTTTAAAAAAATATTTTTTATTTCTTCTCCTTAGCCCTCTGTGACAGTAGCATGTATTATGCCATGTCCCACCTACACGGGGTGTGACCTCCCACTCCTGTGGCTGGACCTGCTGTGGGGTGTCCCTGGTCGTGGGTTCGTATGTGAACATGGGAAACGGACGTCCATCCACTCCCCTGTCTCTCCCAGTCCCCTCCCCTCCCTTCTCTCCACTCCCCTGCGTCTCATCCAATGAACTGCCATCCCCCCCTTATTGTGAGTCAGGGTCCCCATATGAGAGAGGACACTCTGCCTTTGGTTGTTTTGGGGACTGGCTTGTTTCACTCAGCACGATCGTCTCCAGCTCCATCCATTGACCGGCCAATGCCATCATTTCATCCTTCTTGATGGCTGAGTAATATTCCACCGTGTCTATGGACCACACTTTCTTTATCCATCCCCTGTTGAAGGGCACCTAGGTTAGTTCCCCAGTTGAGCTATTGTGAGTTGAGCTGCTGTGCACACTGATGTGGCTGCGTCCCTGTCATGTGCTGATTTTGAGTCCTTTGGGTATAAACCGAGAAGTGGGACAGCTGGGTCCCATGGTGGCTCCGTTCCTAGTTTTCTGAGGCGTCTCCGCCCTGCTCTCCAGAGTGGCCGCACCAACCTGCAGTCCCAGGGGCCCTTGCTGGCCACCCAAGCGCCCTACGTTTTCTTTTCTCATATTTTCTGGAGACAGAGGCTCGGCTGAAGGCGTCCGGCAGATCCTGGTCCAACCACCCGCAGAGAAGCTTCTAGAAAGCCCGTCCAGCCAAGATCTCCTTAGGGGCTCCCAGGCCCTGGGACACCCCCTGGGTCCTGCCTGGCCAGACCCTAGTGATGTCCTGGGGACGTGAGCTGTTTCCCCTCTCCTCTGGCTCTGGGAACCCCTCTGCCAGAAGAACCTTCTAGAAGGTTCTAGGTCTTTCCCTCTCGCTCCGGTTCCAAATACTAACCTTTATCATCGCCCCACGTGGAGTTGCCCCGCGGACTTGCGTGATATTTGGAGAATTAGCTGTCACCATGTCCATGGGAGGAGAGGTCACACACGACCCGATTTTCTGCTCCTAAAAACAAACAAAAAACCAAACAAAACCTCAAACAATAATAAAATCACAACCACCTCCCATGCACAAGCCCCCAGCCCCAGTCCTGACAGGTCCTCTTGGTCTGTGTGGGCCATTCTGTGACCCCTATGAGACAATCTCAAGTTCAAGGTGGACCTCAGCAACTTAGCAAAATAATAACAATAATAATAATAATAATAATTATTATTATTATTATTATTTGGTAGTGCTGGGGATTGAACCCAGGCCCTTGTGCATATGAGGCAAGCGCTCTACCCACGGAGCCCCGTCCCCAGCCCTATTTTCTATTTTATTTAGAGCCAGGGTCTCACTGAGTGGCTTAGAGCCTCGCTAAGTGGCTGAGGCTGGCCTCCACCTTGCGATCCTCCTGCCTCAGCCTCCCCTCCCCAACTGCTGGGATGACAGGCGTGTGCCCCATGGCGCCCGGCATAAAGAATCCAATACCCCTGTTTGTCTTTGGGGGAAGGGAGCTGGCAATACTTGGGTCAGAGGTGGGGAAAGATGGGCTCATGTTAGTCACAAACCTGTTTATATTTTCATGAACATTTTTTTGTGTGTGTATGTGTTGGGTGTGGTTGCATGCCTGTCCTCCCAGCGGCTCGGGAGGCTGAGGCAGGAGGATCGCAAGGTGGAGGCCAGCCTCAGCCACTTAGCAAGGCCCTGAGCCACTCAGCGAGACCCTGTCTCTCAATAAAATAGAAAAAGGGGCTGGGGACGGGGCTCAGGGGTTGGGCACCCCAGGGTTCAGTCCCTGGTACCACCCCCCCAAAAATATATATATATTTTTGCTTTATTTGCATGTCTCCTATTTGAAGGCCTGAATTAAAAAAGAAGCAAGGAAAGGCATGCTTAGGTAAGCACGTTAGCAGGGACGTCCCCGGGGGCTAGGGACACACACACACACACACACACAAGCCACCCAGCGTGCTCCTGGCCCATGTGCAGATTTTCAGGGACCCCATTCTGAGTCTCACGGGTGGATGGGTCTCACATGGGGCTGGGAATGGGTGCAGGGGACACGGATTGAGAGGGAGGGAGCTGGGGACAGTGGCATCTTGTGCCTTGAATTCCCCCTGGCTGGCTGAAATGCCAATTTTCTGCTAGGCTGGCTGTGAGCGGCTGGGGAATGGCTTGTGTTAACCAACCGAACCGCAGAGCGAAGCAATTAGATAATTAAACTGTTTTTAAATTGAATCGAGAGCCCCGTGATTTCTCTGGGACATGCACTGTGATGTGGATGGGAGAGGAGGGGAGCTTTCTCTAAAGGACAGGAGGAGGGGGGACCGGACGTGGTGGTTGCACCACCTGTCCTCCCAGCGGCTCTGGAGGCTGAGACAGGAGGATCGCGAGTTGGAGGCCAGCCTCAGCCAAAGCGAGGCCCCGAGCAACTCAGGGAGTTGCTCTGAGCCCTGTCCCCAGCCCTATTTTGGATTTTATTGAGAGACAGGGTCTCCCTGAGTTGCTGAGGGCCTCGCTGAGTTGGTGAGGGCTGGCCTCCAATGAGCAGTCCTCCGGCCTCAGCCTCCAGAGCCGCTGGAAGGAAAGTCCTGCTGCACTCTTTCGGGCTGGGCATCTTTTAAGAGGGCTGAACTTGACTCTTCTTTGCATGCCAGGTCCTGGGCCAGCAGGGGGTGTGACCTTAGCTCTGCAAGGACCCAGCTGCAGGACCTGCCTGGCTTTGGGTTCTGGGTGACCTTGACCGCATTCCCCCTGCGAGGGCGGTGCAGAGAAGGGAGGGGCCTCCCAAGGTCCTGGGGCATTACCTCCCGGGCGTCCCTGACGATCTGTGTCCCCACCTCGTGGGATCTAGGGCGGCTGCTGGTGTCGCTGTCTCCCAAACCGGGTGCAGCCCTGGGACCCAGCTCAGTGACTCCGCGGCGGTGATCCCGGTGCAATTCTCCGTGTGGCCACTAGAGGGCGCTGCGACACCGAGGACCGCGCACTCCTTGGCCACCAGCGCAGGGGAGGGGACACCCCGGGTCCCTTGTCGGGTGCGCGCTCCGCGGCTCAGCCTCGGATGGACGTGGCGGAGCTCCAAGCTATGCCCACCCCTCCTTGTGCACGCCCCCGATCGCTTCTCCGGGCCCCAGCTCATGTCGCACCCCCACAGTCCCCATGATGTCCCCTCCCCCAGACCCGACCCCTGAGCCCCATCCTCAGCCCTATTTTGTGTTTTATTTAGAGACAGGGTCTCCCTGAGTGGCTGAGCACCTCGTTTTGGCTGAGGCTGGCCTCCAACTCGCGATCCTCCTGTCCCAGCCTCCCCGGAGGCTGGGTTGCGCCCTCCCTCCCGGCCCCACCCCCAGACGTCCCTGGTAACCCCCCAAAAGCGGTGCCGCTCTGTTCCCAACTTGCCTCCCTCCCCGCACCCGGAGTCCCCAGAGCCTCCCTCCTGCTTTATTGTCTTGCTGGAGCCCTGGGCTTGAGGGTTCCGCTGACCCTGCCCAGAGCCTCTTTGTGAAATGGAAGGTCCACCGCAGCGCTCTGCTTCCAACCCTCCCCGGGGGACTCTGGTCACCTTAAAATAGAACCCCAGCGGCCTGGTGGCTTGGCAGATCCGGCTGACATCACCTTCCACCGCTCCTCCTGGCTCTCAGCCCCGTATCGACCTGGAGGCCAGCAGAGGATGGAGGTTGGAACTGGGTCAGCTCACAACTTCCTGCACTGGTGTTTAGTGAGCACTTAGTATATGCTAAGTGCTTTTCTTGAACCTCCTCCCCTCCCCCGTGTCCTCTGTTGGAGCTGACGGTCACCTTGGGAGACGGTCATTTCTGAGACCTTCTGGGGACAGAATTACAGAATCTCATCCTAAGGTCTTAGGTCTCCATTTTATGGGTAAAAAAAACATCCAGTCTCAGAGAGGTGAAGCCACCTGTCCGAGGCCACACAGCACAAGTGGAAGAGGCTGATGGTGAATTCCGAGACAGGCTGCTTCTCTCCAGAGAAGGTATATGAATGGAGAGGTCTCCCGGAGTGTCATGGTGATCGTGTAAAAGGAACAGATGGGGACACTGACATCTGATGTCCAAGTCTGACAGCTGAGTGGAGGTAGCAGTAAGGCTCTGACCTCCACGTTTCTAGGAAGAATTCATTTGGGGGGGGG